TCTCTAACTGTTTCCACCTGAATCATGGGGGATTTATTCTGTTCCCCACGCCAGACTTTCAGGTCAGGGGGTAGCGTACCCCAAGAATCATTAGTCTGACTTTTAAAGACAGATGTAAAATAGGTATTGAGAACCTCAGCCTTCTCCTGAGCAGTCCCATTGCATGCCGCATCCAGTAAAGGATGGAGATTCTCCTTGGCCCTCCTCTTAATGTTAATGTACCCATATGAAAGTTTTTTGTTCTTTCTTACTATAGTGGCCAGGTTGAGTCCAAACTTGGCTTTTGCCTTTATAGTTTTCTCCCTTTGTGTCTCTTTCCAACCCCTTCTTCCACAGGTGATAAATTCTCTTTTTCTTCCAGAGCCTCAGAAGAAGTTCTCTGTTCATCCACACCGGTTTTATTCCCCGCCTGCTCATCTTACAGCAGAGGGGGACAGTCTGCTCCTGCACCTCTAAGACTTCCTTCTTGAGAACTGTCCAGCCTTCCTGAATCCCTTTGCCTTCAGGACTGAATCCCAATGAACCCTCCCTATCAGTGTCCTGAACAGTTCCAAGTCCGCCTTCCGGAAGCCCAAGATAGCAGTTTTGCTGAGCCCTCTCCTGACTTCATCAAGAATAGAGAACTCTACCATTTTGCAGTCACTCTGCCCAAGACAGCGCCCGACCTCCACATCTCCCACCAGTCCTTCTATATTTGTGAACAACAGAACTAGCAGGGTACCGCCCCCAGTAGACTCTCTTACCATCTGTGCCAGGAATTTGTCTTATACACACTCTAGAAACTTCCTAGACTGCTTCTTCTGTTCTCTATTTTGTTTCCAGTATATATCAGGGAAGTTGAATAAAACAAGGGCTGTCAATCATGCAACTTCTGCCAGCTGCTCCTAGAAAGGCTTTGTCTCTTCATCCTGACAGATCCTCACCAAGACATCTCCCCTATTAGTCTTCCTTCTGATTCTTACCCACAAAGTCTCAGTTTTATCTTTTCCAGTTGTAGCTCAATAACATCAAAATGGTCTCTAACACAAAAAGCCACACCACCATCCCTCCTTCCTTGCCTATGTTTTCTGAAGAGCTTATAGCCATCCATTGCAACACTCCAGTTGTGGAAGCAATCCCACTATGTTTCAGTAATGGCAACAAAGTCATAGTTTGCCAGCCGCATGATGGTTTCCAACTCCTCTCATTTGTTGCCTATGCTGTGTGCATTGGTGTAGATGCACTTCAATTGAGCCATTCACATCTCCCCCAGTCCCATCATATTTCCCACAGGCTTATCTCTAGCAAGCCTTGTTTTAACCTCCTCCCACTTCATACCTGGTTTAAAGTTCTCTCAATGAGCCTTGCTTTCTCCTTCCCTTTCCTGCTGTTCTATTCCTCTAAGGTAATCATTGTGCAGGCAAGATAGATGAAGATCAGAGCAAACTCAAGGGTATCCTAATCAGAGCTGCCAAAACACCACTGTAGGACCAGATGCACTGATCTTGCTCTCCTATCACGCTATTACAAGGACACTGTACTTTGAGTTTTTGACTGGTGTGTCAGGAAAACTGGAACTGGGCCTGTCACTTATAGCACCTTTTCTCAGATGGCTCCCACATGTCTTTATAAACTTTAGTAAATGAGTGTATAAACTAGGATCTGTCTACACATAAATCACTCTGTCCACCACTGAAGTACAGCCATCCCCAGGATGAAACACAGCAGCTGCTGTAAAATCACACCACAGCTCTACAAGCACAAATTAAGGCAATAAAGCATGCTGCATGAGGCAACTGAACGCTTGGAGGAAAGAAGGGGAACATGGTAGAGAGCATTTAGTAGTTATAGTTACCGAAGTATAAATTTGGCCGGAGAGGTTACTGTGTTTAACACTTGCATATCTGCAAATCAAAGCCATCTTCAACCACCTGTCATAACAACTTGGCCGTACTATTCTCCATGCTTTGGCATTCTAACCTCCTTTCGGAAAACTGCAAAGCACCTTGATAAGAGCAAAGCTGATGTGCTGAGCACAGGCTATAACCTAATCAAATTTCTTAGCAACTGACTTGATAACAAACTGTAGCTGTTATGCCCTCTTCCTCTTTCTTGCATGACAAATGAACATAGCATCTACGTATTCCTTGTTTTAAAATAACTCCTGTAACTTGCAAACTGTCCATGTGGATCTTATTTTCTAGGCTAAATGTAGCTAATTACAGTCACTCAGGGGACTGAACTGTTGCATCCTTATTTTTATTTTGGAATAGGCTCAAGCAGTGTGTTGTCCTCTGTCAAATTACAATCTGTTTATAATAAGAATGGAGCTACACAGATTACAACCATGAATTTCCTTGCTTAAAAGACAGTTCAGGAACAGTCATCTCCCTGCTCTCCTCAGCTGTATAGTCATGTACGTTCTCTGATAAACCTGAAAATAGAAAAGTATGGGGAAATGATTTGAAAGGTTCTTCCAATCAATTCAAAACACAGGACATTGCTTGGGATGACACTGTGTGTACTACTCACATGAAAAAAATCACTAATTTGAGTGCCATCTCTCTACATCATGTTTTATCTTCCCTGCTACAATTGTTCCTAGTTCCACAATTCCCCTTTGATGTTGCAGAGGCCAAATATTCTTCTTAGAAAATCAATGGAGTCTAGCATTATTCATTTGGATTGTATTGTTACTGAAATACTAATAAAATGAGTGACAGCTCAGACAGACCATATCAAATGGATTAGTGTTCCAGCTTGGATCAGGAGCATGCTTACAAGCAAGCCTGTTGCACAGGTCCACACTACAGTCTTCAGGGTTGCCCCCAGGGTTCCTTTAATAGCACTTAAAGTAGAAGATCATTGCAACTGCTAGGTGGCCTTTGTTGCGCAGGATCAGATAAGAAGTAACCCAAAATAAAGTCTCCAAGATGTGTGCAGTGTGCACCCAGCAGCCCTCACTGCCATCTGTGCCAGACTGTGAATCTGTGTCTGTGGGAGCACAGTACTTGTTAATACAGCTATGGCCATGTAAACGGTCTCCCTCCATGAAAAGTCTACAAAAAGTTAATGACAGCTTCCAGGGCAAATATTCCTCAACAGCTTTTTATGCAATTACATTGAAAAGTATATTAATTCACATACTGATCTACACACATATAGAACGGACATCATGAACATGTCATATTTAAAGATCTCTCCCAGCAGTTTCACTTTAGCTTCTTTGGCTGTTAGTTTTAATGAATTGGAGAGAAAGTGAAACATATTCTCCTTGAGGTTACATAACAGGGATCTCTCCTGTGCAACTCTGCCGCCAGTATTAATCAGTAAATCACAAATATTCCAGGCCACACTGCACCTTCACAACTTTGCAAGCCTAAAGGAAGTCAACTGAGCTAACTGGACTTGATTAGGTCTGTTGCTGTATGTGAATGAAACAAGTAAATATATGGTCCAACTAGAGCATCATAGAGCTAATGACCTAGGAGAATAAACTGAATTCTGTAAGTCAGAATGTAGCACATCAATGGTTTCATTGTATTAACTTACACCAGAGATATATCTGATCTTATGTATACACCTGATTTAGCAGGCGGCAACCCTGCACATAGCATGAAGGTTGGAACTGGATGATCCTTAAAGTCCCCTCCAATTCAAACCATTCTATGATTCCATGATAATTCTATATGAAGCATGCACTGAGGAAAAGCTCAGCTGTTGTCCATCTGCACTCTCAAAGTTAAAAGAATCTGATGGAGAAGCACTACTCTCAAACCATCTTCACGCAAGACAAAACATACATTCTGTGTACACAAATTCTGGCTTTTCTATTTGCCCAACCAAAAGGAGGGAAACAGTAACACTTTGAATGGGCATACTTTTACCTAATCAAGAACTTTATATTGCCAGCCAAGGAGATAATCATAAGACTCTTTTCTTGTTCTCTAAGTACAATACAGTGCATGGAATGCATAGAAAGCATAAAACTACCAAATTGTATCATCAAGGATTTCAGTATGCAAATCCAGCATATAAATTGGGCAAGACAGTCATCCCTTGCGTCATTTTTTGTCGGTTGGCCTTTTGAGCCAATACAAAAAAATAAAGTAGAAAGAAAAAGATAAAGCCACTCAGCCTGAATTCTCATAACTAACGACTTGTGTGGAGTACAACAATGGTTGCCGGACTGTCTGCTAGATACGCAAAATGCTGCTGATGATTAACCAGGAAACGTGAACTTCCTTGATAAATAAAGAAAATGAAGGAGAAATCATTCTAAAACAATATCAGAGAATTACATATGAGTGACTTCTTTTTTTAAGCACACACTTATACTCTGCTCCTGAAGAAAAAATAAAGGAATAAACTTTGAAGCCTATGATTAATAATAACTCTCTTCACATACTTACAAAGATCACAGTTGACCACAGAAAGAAAAAAATCATCTGGACAATAGGAAACTATAAAAATGTCTATTTTTGGAATATAACCATAGCTGGTTAATTTCAACAATGTCAGATATTTTGTAAAGGTTAAATTTCCATTATGACACAAAGATCCTGAGTCATTTCTTCAGTTGCTGAAAAGTGACATCATTTAACAATTTCAAAATGAATGAACAGTAAATAAAGAAATAAAACAGAAAAGAGCCCCACAGTAAATATCAATATATGTAGACCAATTTTGAAGTTTTGCTCCAAAAAATCTCTACTTCAAATAGGTACTGTGTCTCTCATAAGCTCCTGACTGAAAATCAGAGGACACACCATCAGCAAACATAAAATATTATTCACTTTAAGGCAAATTAGAGCTAACTATTGACCAAATAACTTTCCTCTATTTCTCCTTCACATATGAAAGAGAAAAACTAGGGTAACAATGTGCAAATCTTCACAGCATATTAATAAACAGTACACAAAAAACTGATGCAAATAGGACCCATGCATGTGTCATGTCTGTGTGATGTCCGTATTGCCTAACTCCCTGCAAAAAGCTCCACACTAGCATATTGTACTCACGTGTTTTGCTGAGAACTCATCTATCTCCTGAAGCAGCTTCTCCTGGCACTCCGGGTTGGTTGCTAGCAAATACGTGGCAAAGGACAGTGTGCTAGTGGTGGTCTCATACCCAGCAATCAGGAAGAGAAAAGCCTGGCCTGCTATTTCATCCTCAGTTAGCATCTTCTGAGCCTTTTCAGATGGGGTCTTGTCAACAAGAGGCACCTCATTTTGGCTGGAAGTGGTGGCTGGACAGATCTTATCAAAATATTCACCTGCTAAGGCATCAGCTGAGTTGCGGGAGTCAAGCATCCACTGGAGAAAATCTCTGCGCCTCTGCAGAACACAGGGTGAGAAGAAGCACAATGAATGAGAAGAAGCACAAAGAATGGGTCACAGAGCAATGCCTTTATCTATGGGAGATGAAAGGAGAGAGTTGTTTCCTATTTATACTGCCCACTCATAGGACAGGCAGCAACTTTTCACTGAATGAAGAGACTTCTATAAATCAGCTAGAAATGCCACCACTAAGAGCCTACCACTGTGTTCTTCTCTAAAGGACAAGGCTCATCTGCCTCCAATATATAAAGGTACATATTTTCACAGAGGATTGCTAATGGCTCACTCCAAACAGAGCTTCTTTCAACTGCAGGGTGAGCCTTTCACACTTACTGGAAGTACTTTGACATACTCAAAGCATGGTCCAAGGCACATCTGCCAAGCATGATGCAATTCTAAGCAATTCCTGCTTAGCTTGTTCTTCCAGCATTTTTGACCCATCTGTTTGGAGGCATCATCCCCACTTATTCACATGGTCCAAAATATGAAAGGTCTCCTACATTTAGGTTGGCATCTACAATCCTTCCTGTACCAATTTGACAAGACAGGACTAGAAACCAATGTCAACAAACTATCAAAAAATCAACAAATTTAATGAGAAAGTACAGTTGTAAACATTCTGATATCAATGCAGGTTTTTTTTTATTATTATTATTTTATTATTATTATTATTTTTTAACATACTTGCAGAAGTGAACTACAACTGTAAGCACTCCTCTGCTAAAATATTTGTCTGGGCAACCTGTCTTTGTAAAACATCCATTGAATGATTGTACTGTTATGAAAACTGTTTTCTTCTGCACCAGCCTCTGACAGACAAACTCTAATAAGCAGACCCATGGGCAAGAGTGAGTTGACTCCAAACCAGCCTGGACAGCAAGCTTGATTAGGCTTTGAAATATAACCCAAAAGGTTTAAATTGACATTTTCAAGTGGGCATAATAGAATTGTGCTGAACCTAAGCCATAAGGCTATATGATTGATTTTCAATTCCTCAAATACCAACAGAATACATGATAGCTCAAGGACTTAAAGTGTAAGTGGACTTACAGTACCAGCACATGACAACTTGTGCACTGGGACGCACAAGAGAAGGGACCAAGTCTTTCTTACAGAAAAGTAAAACCAAACCAATCCAAACCCTGTAAACCTGCATGTAACTATTATGAAGAAATCATTTCAATGTCTGCTAATAGAGAGACAAAGAAATGGGAAAATGAGAGGAAAGGACAGAAAAACAAGATAAGACTAAGGAAGGAGTAACTAATACAAACGTCAAAGGAATTAATCAGGTAGTTTTTTTCTATATGACATGGAAAAGAGAGCAATGAAACAAGAGAAATATTTAGTTGTGCTTTTCTCTGCTGCCAACAAACTGTTCTGACTGAGAACAAGTAATTGCTACAAGCAAAAAGGAGTGGTTATTTTGAAGTCTGAGTAATAGAAGGAATTAGCATACTGCATCTTTAGCAGCTCCCTCTCTCCATTCCACAGAGACTTTTCATTTTGCACACGTACATTACGTACTTATACTTATGTCCATAGTGTATATTGTATCCTGCTATATCTGAGACCTAATGCTCCAGAGAGTAGCAGAACTACTCACTGTGCTCAGAAAGCAGTCTACAAATTGGCCAAACTGCATCACCTTCAAGTGCTTCTCCTCCTGAGAAGTGAAGGCACAGAAAGCAGAATTATATACATACTGCTCAGTAAATAAGCCAGCTATGAAAATACTTCCTTGTGCCTAGACTTAAGCACAATCTCCAGATTCAAACTGTTGATTCTAGTCAACTGTTACAGAATAATTCCACTCTTTTATTTTCCTTTAGACTGCAGGGAACAAGATTTCATGCATACACATGCTATCCACAGCTGAAAGTTCTACTTAGCATCTCCAGGAGGAGTTTATTAACAAGCTGGGAGTCCATATACTGTACAACTGAGAGTCCAGCTCTTGGTATGGCCAACACTTCAGGTATTACACCTGTACATATATTTGGGTTACATGGTTACAAACCAAAACAAAACACTTCCACTGTGTTAATTAGCGAGTGAATAAACTAGAACAGTAAAATAATGAACTGCATCTGTAGAGATATTCCCTTTTCTTCATACAACTAGTCCATCATTGCCTAAACTGCTTTTAAAACAATATAATTACATTCATATTCATTTGAGTTGTACTACTGCAATATAATATTGTTCAAATGGCAAAACATTTGGAAAAATTCTGTATTTATCCTTCTCTAGCGGTGAATTTTCTTGTAAATAAATTCATTGCTCTCCAAGGACTTGCAGTCCCAAGTCATGAACTGTAAGCTGAATCTGGTCTTTTATTTAGACAATACATTCTCTGGAGATCCTACAAAATGTTTCTCCAGCCTTAGATAAAATCAGATCTGGACCTTGTACAAAGCATATTGTTAATGCTGTCATAGAACAGGGATAATCACAATGACTACTGAATGAAAACTCATTCATGAGAATTTTTGCTGAAAACAAACTCAATGAATGCTAGCACTAGTGAATATTCCCAAGAATGTGCTCTGAAATGCCTCCATGGCCATTTTGAGGGGCTATTTCTATTACTCTCATAATATATTTGGTTAGAAATTCAAAACGTTGTCTCATTACAGAATCTGCTTATAAGGTCACACTATCTAGAAACAACTGACTATCTGTGCTACGCAGTTTGTTCACAGGTGAGAACAGGTTGTTAAGAACAATAGTTTCATAAACAATCCTTACAAAAAACACATTCATCTCTAAAATTTGAGCAATAGTGAGAGGAAAGGAGCATAACATTTGTAAGATGCAAGCTTTGTTCAAGATAATTTTACACAATGCAAGGAAATATATTTTAGCAAAGATTCTCTTCCTTATGGTTCATTCTACTTCACTTTAGGCATCAGTATAGAATGCTATATAAAAATAATCATCAACCCAAGCGAGAGAAAAGATTTCCAGGGTTATAACCAGTCATAATGAAACATATTTTTCTTCCGCACCATCAGAATAGAAAAATCACTCTGACTCAAAAACCTAACAATGGCAATAGAGGCAAATACTAGCATAAAACCAAATATAATTGGATTTTTAAGTGCTGGAAATGAGGAAAAGGTATCTCATGAAAATTCACAGGGTTTTTCTCTACTTAGGTTAACGGCAGTAAAGAAAAAAAAAAAATAGAAAAAGAAAAAAAATAAGCCAGTTCTTCAACATGACAACAGACCAGGCACTGACAGTGTCACTGCACAAAAACATTCTCTGGTCATCACGTGTGGCTGTTGGCTTCCTTTACCATTAGGGACATTTGTTTGATTTTCCTTACAAAAAGCAAAAGCCCATAATAGCCTCTATCCTGTCCTCTGATACTTGCATAGTTATGTTACAATAGCCTTAGAAACGAGTTCCTGCTTCAAAAGAATGGTGTAGACTCTAGTTTGCCATGATACAACAGAGAGTTTATCATTAAGCCAATGATTGAATGGAAAGATACTACTTGAAAAATTGTAATTTGAATGCAGCATGGACAGTGTATGCCTAACTTGGTGGTGACACAGACATCCCCTTTGAAATATATAATAAGACAAGTTCTACTTTCAGCTTCCTTGAGATAGACACCTTGCAATATATTTCCTGACACAAGTGTTCTGGGCCATATCATTTCTCTCATTAGCCTCCTTAAGCATCACCTGGCCATGCAGAGAAATCATTCTGCACAGAACTGTAATGAGCTATGTGCTACGTACTGGAAGAATAGATGTGTGCTATACCAGGAAAGGCAGTAACTATCACCCCTCCTTAAATCACCACTTTCAAGTTTTGCAACTGTCAGAAGAAAAGAGAGATATCATTCACATGCAGTGCGTCATGGTTCTTCTCACAGAGGACGAGGATCTTGGGGGAAGGGGGATGTCTCTAGATCTTCCCATCCTAAACAGAGAACTGTGCTTTTATATCAACTACTGACATACTGGCCAACCTTTTGGCAAATTCACTACTGATTTGGGGATCCAGGGGACCCTTCAGTTACATTTTCAATAGAGAGACTGAGGCATATGAATCTTCTGCTAGATAATGTGAAAAAATTACCTAAGATAGACTATCAAATGTACGAGGGCAGCTCCAAAAGTAATGTCTCCTATTTTATTATGTTGGCCCATAGCGTCAGGAGAAAGTTGGTGGTATGGCGGTAGAAGTCAAACCTTCTCACTAATATTGCATTCCATGTTGTTGCTGTGTGACAGATGGCAGCAGAGAGGCAGTCTGACCAAATGCGTCTGACATAGAGGTGCGTATGAAAAAAAAGGTGCATCGCTGAATTCTTCCATGCAAAAAAATGGCACCCACTGGCATTCATCGACACTTGTTGAGCATTGATAGAGACCAAACAGTGAATGCGAGCACAGTGAGGCTGTAGATGCTGTGTTTCAGCAGTGGTGACAGTGATGTGAAAAGACAAGGCACTTTCCTGGCAGCCACACATAGCTTTCACACCATGAAATGAAGACCATCTTGATCAGCTCATCCACATAAATCAGCAGATTATGACCAGGGAATTGCATACAGAGCAAAATGTCGGCTTTGATGCATTGGAACTGATGGTGGCAATGCTGGACTGGAGTACCATCAAATTTGTGCCAGGTGGGTTACACAAATATACAAGAACAGAATGAACACCGTATGCAAATTTGTCAGGACCTATTGAACCAATATAAGACTGAAGGTGATGGTTTCCTGGATCACATCATTACTGGTGATGACCTGTGGTGTCACCACTACGTGCCAAAGTCAAAACAGCAGCTCATGGAGAGTTGACGTGAATTCCCTATCAAAAAAATATTTCAAGACACAGTCCTCGGTGGGTAAAGTACTGTGCACTGTCTTTTGAAATAGGACAGAGGTGATCCTTCTGGACTTATGGGAACCCACACAAACCACAAGCTCTGACAGCTACTTAGTCACAGCAACTGTGACTAAGCTGAAGGCTT